CAAATCAATGAACAATGGGAGGACAGTGACAGTGACAGATAAAATCACAATCATTTAAAACACATTCTATTTTTATTGATTTAAGTACTTTGATTTACAATACTGTCAATGATTTATTCATGTGTACATAATTTCAAAGCCACACTCATCACTATTGTACCGAAATGTTCTCCCTTTCAGCCCACCCAAACCCTCATACACTCAGTTTTGTGTTTCACTTTTTCAGATTGCTGCCTTTGATCCTTTGTTGCTGCTCTGCTGTGTATTTTTAAGCCCCACACATGAGAGAGACCATCCTATATGTATCCCTTTCCTTTGACTTCACTCAGCATAATATCCTCTAGTTCTATCCATATTGCTGCAAATTGCATGGGTTCTATCCTTTTTCAGAGTTGCATAATTTTCCATAGTGCTTGCCACAATTTCTTGGTTCAGTAATCTTTAGTGGGCATTTGGGTAGTTTTCATATCTTTGGTATTGTATTAAGTGTTACAAACAGATGACATTGTCATCATCAGTGGATGAGAGCTCCTTTGTCCAAGCCTACACACATAAGTAGTTGTTTTTCTTCAGCCTCTTTCTTTTCACCCATTTACCTTTCCTATGTGGCCTCTATTCTGCTTCCAAGTTGGCTGGCCTATGGTTGGCTGCTCATATCATGTTACTAGTAATCAATGAATTTGTAGCAACTTAATCTGTTCTTCTGACTATAATTTCCTAGAAGTGTGGCTTAGTAGAATCTCACTCACTTGTCATTGCCAGAAACATTACTGGAACATCCTTAGCTGCAAGAGAGGCCAGGCAGTAGTTTCTTTAAAAAATTGGACACAGAAGTTTCAGAGAGGATGCGTGTGTGTGTGTGTGTGTGGGTGTGTGTGTGTGTGTGTGTGGGTGGGGGACCATATTCATAAGAATTAGGTTTTGGTAAGCAGTGGACAGTATCTGCCATGGAGATGGAGAATGGAAAAAAATTTTTCTTTTAGATTTTTTTTACTTGTTTCATAGATATGGTGGCCCTAGAAACCTGTGGTCTAGGACAGTGAAACTTAAAGCATTTAACAAAACAAACAAAACCACTATCCTCCCCTTGTCCATCGATTTGCTCGAGTGGGCCCAGTAACATCTCCATTTTGAGAATTGTTGTTACTGTATTTGGCATATCAAATACGTCACGGGTAGCTTCCCAGGCTTTGCCATGCGGGCGAGATACTATTGAACCTAGCTCGGCCGGGCTGGCTGCGTGCAAGGCAAACGCCCTACCACTGTGCTATCGCTCCTGATTTAAACAAAGAAGAATTGATAGGAAATAAAAGTTTGGGATTACAAAATTCTAAGCTTTGGGATAGATTTGGGAAGAAATAACATAATTCACTTACTATATAGCTTCCTGGAGTTTCTAAATTCATTATTCCTGATGATAAGATGCTTCTGCCTTTCCAGAGAGAAGTTTCAGAGAGAAGGAGATTCATATGGAGAATATGTACTCTACTTACAAGCACAAAGGAATATTACAGTGCTCCTACGCTGGCTGTTCTTTCAGTGACTTAAGTTCAAATAATCATTTTGCCACTTTGACATATTTGGGGGAGGCCTGCCCTAATCCCCAACAAAGAGCATCTTGCTTGACTCACAATGGGCTCTCAGGTTGGCTTAAGCCAGTGATCTCAGCCATGTTATCTCCATGAATTTGCGTGCATGTGCATATATGCATAACACCTGAATGAATGCACAGGGCTTTTGGAGAGTACACCTGAGTAAAAATAAACTTTCATTTTTCTTCATAGCCAAATGATGTTTGCTGTAGTCCGCCTTCTCCTTTGGATGAAAACCTGGATGAAGAAGGAATTTCAGCAATTCCCTGCAGAAATGGCCAACTGGTAAGAAAGCAAGGGGAATCAAGATAAAGGAGGTTAAGTAAAGTAAAGTAAAGGCCCTCCCGTTGATCATCGATTTGCTCGAGCGGGCCCAGTAACGTCTCCATTGGAGACTTTGTTGTTACTGTGTCTGGCATATCGGATACTCTTGGTAGCTTGCCGGGCTCTCCGAGAGGGGCGGAGGAATCGAACTCGGGTCGGCCATGTTGGCCGTGTGCAAGGCAGATGCCCTACCCGCTGTGCAGGAGGTTAAAAAAGTAATTATTGTAGGGAAGTCAGCGTAACTGGGGGCTATTTATCTTATAAATGTGAAGAAAATTGTTAGACTCAGGAATCAACAAGGAAATTAGTGATTCTCATACCACCCATGATCTGTACTGTTTGACGTGAGGCATGAAATGGTGTTCCCTGAGCTATAGATGTAGAAAGGTTTCAGCTGAGGGGGAAAATATTTGCCTCCACTTGGATTTATGGAAGTAGAATATTTGCAGTGAGTGGCTTTCGTCTATTATTCTTAAATATATTTCCTTCTCTTCAGCTCTACTTATATGTCCTTTCTAGAGAGATAGAGGGATTCTGTTAAGAATAGCTTTGTTTCTCCTTGAAACTTTCCTGAGGATCATAGTCATAATGAGGTTTGTCTAGTTCTTATATCTTTTATTTTCATTGTACATGCATTTTATTCAGGTCATGCTATCTAAATCTTGTGATTGTTCCAACACAGGCTAGGACCTAGTACCTTCCAAAATTCTGATGAATGTTGGTTTGGATGTAGAGGTTTGTAGATTCTGCTAGTCACAGATTGTATCCTGGTGACTTTTCTGTTGACTGAGGTATATTGAAGTCTGGAGGTAGATTTTCTTCAGCAGGGCTGTCAACAATCCTGATTGCAGACTTTGTCTGTAATTCCCCACACCCTAGTTAATGATATTTTCTATAAGAACATCAACTCTATTTTATCAGCACCCTTCATTTCTGTTGACTTATTAGCAGGTGTTTGATTTTAGGCGTTATTCCAGTTCAGAGATTTTTGTAAAACCTATTTTTTGTAAAACCAGGATGCTTTGCTGAGGTGTTTGTTGCTAACTTCCTATCATTCCACTTTACAGCAGCCACAGACTCTCCCCTCAGTCAAAGTAGACACATACTTTCAAATTATGAACCTGCTGTGGAATTTTACCACTCCTGACTCATGGTCAATGAACACATACCCTCAACACTGAGATTTACAGCTACTCTCACCTCCTAGGAATAGGGGATACTGGACATCACACAGGGCCATCACTCCTGGTGATGTATACTTGGGAACTTAGCGGACAACCAGAATCTGTGAAATACCAAGGCAAGCTCTGAGGTGTCAAAAAGGCTGGGTACCTCTGGTTGTCACAGAGGGTTTGTGGGAAGAACTGCATGAGCTGACCAGGAATTGAAACTCCTGCCCCAGTGATAAGGAAGCACTCTGTCTGGCTCCCTAGATAGAAGCATTGTTTGACTGGGGAACCATGTGAGGGGAAGCCGAGTAGGGAAGAAAACTCACTTTTTCATTATTCCTGACTTTCCATGTACCAGAGGTTGGTGCAGCTCAAGATATTGAATCTTAGGTCTCAGTATTAACGTTTCTGGAGGCCTTTTACATTCTTCTTCTTTGTTAGAGATTTCAGCTGTCATCAGACATGGGATTCTTTTTTTAAAAAAAGTTGTTCATTTCTTTTGGTTTAGATTAAGCTCTTATCTCTTCCATTGTATCAATTGTCTGTGACTTTTTCTACTTTATATGTTGGGGATTTTTGTCTGCCTGATTTTAGAGATCCTGGATTCTAAGTTTTGTATGAATGTCTCTAAATTAGCCACTCTCAATTTGCTTGATATGCTCCACCCCTCCATTCTATTTGTTGCTGATGTAGCCCCTGTAAGGAGCTGGGGGTATGGGGAGGGAGGTTGTCCACGCCCATGGCACATCTGAGCTATGGACTTCATGCGGGTCACACATCAGGTGCTAGCAAACCTGACGGAAGCCCTCCCTGAGGTTGGTTTTGTTTTGTTGGTGGCTGTGCTCTTTGGTTGTTCCACACTTACTTGAGCATGAATTTTGATTGTGGTGCTTGCCAGAGTCACTATAGTTCTTGTGCACACAATCACTGGTTCACACTCCCAGGCTGTGGCATGTGCAGCTCTTTTTAGTTGTGTAGCTTGTAAATTTTGTAGCTACACATGGCAGCATGATGTATAGCTAGAAAATAAATTGTGGCACCAGTGACTGCAGCCAGCAGACATTCAGGATCATGTTTCGAACATGTGGGGCACCAGGGTGTTAAACTCATGACCATACATTTGCAAGGCAGGCTCTCTAAGCCAAAGATTCTTAAAATTTTTTCTACTTGTAGCATCTTTTTAGTCAAAATATTATATATATTTTTTTGCAATTCCAAAAATATAGGATATATATTTATTTTCTTCAAAAAATATTTTGTGCTCATGGAAGAATCAAAGTTTTCAAAATTATGACCTACCTAAATTATTCTATAGATTCAGTGCAACCCCCAATTAAATCCAGATGACATTCTTCAAGTTTGCATTGTTGATAGACCCAGTACTGTCCTCCAAAATTATTTACTTTTCCACTCTATTCCAATCAGAATACAGACTAGTATTTAATGATTATTGGATATATGAACATCACAGGTACCATGTTGTGAAAAAAACATAAACCAGCTAATTCCATCTTTACTAAGAAGAAAGCTTTAGCCTTCCTGGATATTCCAGCGCCTGAATTTTCACATTGATAGAATGAATAATTTTTGGATATGACCTTCACATGATTGCACACAGATTTTTTTTAAGTTAGAAACACAACATTTGAAGAAAAAAATTATGATATTAGTAAGAAAAAATGGGGTTTTGGCAAGCAGGTGGTAGTGTCAGCTTTCAAGACCACTTTCTATTAGAGTATAGACATACAGAGATCATGTAATTATGGACAGATTGGTTAATCTGCTTACTGATGTACATTAGCTCCATTCTGATATATCATGTGGATACAGATTCTAAGGTAATGTATAATTGAATATCAGCAGTTACACAGTAAAGATAAACCTGGATAAAAATGGCTTGTATTTCTCTCATTAGCCAGGGGATGCATCTGAAAATCCTACTGCTCAGTTGGATGATACCCAGGCGAACAAAGAACTGCCAGGCATTATCAACACCAGTGGTTCCTTGGTAAGTTAGAGCAGAATCATTTTGAATGTCAATCTCTCTGGACAAACACGCAAAACTTCAAAACAGTGCAACATAATTTAGATAGTTTGATAACCATAACTGTCAACATGCTAAGTATCTTTAGTTCATTTATTTGAGTTTTTCGTAGTTATTAACTGCACGCTCCATGCAAACATCCATATTCAGAAAACCAGTGCCTTTTGGCTTTTGTCTGAAAGTAATTCTTAAAAGAATGTTGAAACCATAGAACCACTGGTCTCCCTGTTGAGCAGGAAACATCCTCAGGTTGTCTGTTGTTGGCCCAGCTCAGGTGACAGTCAGTGCTGTCCCTATGGATGATACGTTAGGCTCCCATGTCCAGTGCCTCTCTGTTCCCACCATCTCTCTCCCTATAGCCGCTTCTACTCCACCTTATTCTGAGGAATGACATGTCAGACAGTCTTGAGGAGAACATAACTTAGAAACACCAATGGCAACTTTCTCCTGAACATTCCCATGTCTGGGTCTGCTTGCTGTCTTTTCTCTCCCTTGATGTTATATAGTCAATTTCACAATTTGTTTTTCCATTTTTATAGTTCTCTCATAACTTCCTTGCATAGAGAAAAAATAAAGCAGACTTGTGAGTTCTGATGGGTCTGTTACTGCACTCATGATGGTGGAGAGACTCACTTTGAAGGAGCATTATGTAGTAGTTTAATGTTTATAGAAATATTTTAAAAATTACTTTTGATATTAAAAATAATCTATAATTTGCTGCCTGCTAGTATATTGCCAGTCTTCTGCTCCCATCACTGACCCAGACATCAACCCTCTACACCAGAAAGCAGACCCAGACCAACTTTTTCTTTGGGGAACATATGCTGAGTTTTCTTTGTTCTTTCTCTATATTTTTTAAATAGGCAAGAGATTTGAATAGACACTTTACCAAAGCAAATATGTAGATGGAAAATCTATGTAACTGGCTCATGGAAAGTTTCTTGGTATCATTAGTGATCATGGAAATGAAAGCAAAGCCTCTAGATATTATTTCTTTTTTTTTTCATTTTTTATAATTTTATTTATTGAATCAGCGTGAGAGCAGTTACAAAGCTTTTGGGTATAAGTCTCAGTCATACAATGAAACACCCATACCTTCACCAGTGCCCATCCTCCACCACCAAAAACCCCAATATATCCCCATCCCACATCCTCACCCTACCTGTGGGACAGATGATTTCCGCATAACTCTCTTTCTACTTTGATCACATTCAATATTTTGACACCAGACCCACCATTATTATTTGAGATTTTACCCCAATACTCAGATCTGCTGAAAAGGCAACAGTAGACAATTTGTTTTCTATTGCTGGTTATGAATAACATATGATGTCGCGTGGTTGCAGTAGTGGCTGTGTGATTTTGAAATTCTGAAATTTTAACACTTAAATCTGGAGGGATTTCTGCCAAAACCTTCTGGATTCCGAGATTTGTTCCTGAGTCTTGGATGATGGCCGTTAAGCAGCTTGATCAGGAGCCAGAAAGACCGTTAGTGGTTGGCGACTCGGGGTCTTGTTAGGACAAGGAGGAAAGGGCCGGCTCCACCCCCATCCTGTGAGGCCCAAACCTGAGTGTCCAGTGTCCTCTGGAAGATGGCGGACACCGGGCCGCCAGGGGGAGCAGGCCAAGGCACGAAACCTATTCCCACTTGGGTGGCCCACAGCCAGTAACCTACTTCAGGGACTGGACGCATTTCTACCAAAAGCCACTGGGTTTCATGATTTGTTTCTGAGTCTCTGGGCTTCTGGGCTTCTACTCCACCTTATTCTGAGGAATGACATGTCAGACAGTCCTGAGGAGAACATAACTTAGAAACACCAATGGCAACTTTCTCCTGAACATTCCCATGTCTGGGTCTGCTTGCTGTCTTTTCTCTCCCTTGATGTTAAGCAGTTCGATCAGGAACCAGAGAGGCCATGCCTCCAATTATATAGCTGAGCTGCAGGTGGTCTGTGGGTGTGTCTCCCACGTACCTAACTTTTGGCTGTTTACTTTCTTGGTAAACTTTGCCCCAAGTTTTTGGGAACTGGCCAAAGGCACAGCAGCAATTTTGGGGTATCTGAAAGTCTGACGGTGCCATCAGGCTGCTGATACACTCGCCTCACAGGTACAGATTGCCCTGCTGTTGGCACCATACCCCCAGATATTATTTCTATATAGCCTTTTGAGTGGCTACAATTTGACTACTGTATCAACTGATACTAAGGATGGAGAGTAAGTAGAACAATAATATTATTAGTAGAGATGTGAACTAGCTTACCTACTTAGAAAAATAATCTGGTTGTTTTAGAAATCTTTAGCATATATCTCCATAAAACAGTCATTCCACAGAAAGAACATAGCATACAAAGTCATTTACCATAAATAGTTCCAAACTGGAAAATAGCCCAGTTTTATTTAAGTAAATGGATGAGCAAGTTGTGGTGTGTGTATAGTCACACAGTGGAATAACACGCAGCATTAAAAAAAAAAACAAAGAACCTTTAATAAAAGTAGATGAACCTCAAAATAATTATGCTATTCTAAAGAATCGAAACCCCCCCCCCCCAAAGAAAAAAACCCACCAAGAGTCCAAAGGCATAGTATAGGGGTTAATTCACTTGTTTTGCACATGGTTGACCTGTGTTTTATTCCTGGTACCCCATATGGTACCCAGAGCCCCACCAAGTATGATCCTTGACTGCAGAGCTTGGAGTAAGTCCTGAGACCTCTGGGTATGGCCCCTTTTAAAAATCAATTTATACAAAACTGTAGAGAATGTAAACTAACCTCTAGAGAGAAAAGAGAAACAGGGTCTGCACAAGACCTTGGAGTGGAAGAAGCAATCTTGATGGACATGAGCAGAATATTTGAGGGTGCTCCTTTGTTTATTGTCTTGGCTACAGTGGTATGATTTCAAAGGTCTCTGTCGGAACTCATCAATAAGATACTTTATAATCTTTACTAATTTTTGTGGAGAGGGGGTTATATGAAGCTTCTCAAGTAGTGACCAGTGTCCTAGCTCTACTCTTTGGTTTGGTTGTGGGGTCCTGAGCATTCAATGCCAGCATTCTGTGCATTCTGGGGGTGAGGCAGGAGGAACTGCTTAGGGGACCTGCAATTCTAGGCATCACACTCAGGACTTTGCACATGAGAGCCGTGTACTCCAACCCTACTTGCCCTCAACCTGGCTCTGTTTATTCTCTAGCTATGTGCATGCTGCCAATTGGGTTCGGTCCTTGCATTCCATTTGGGTTTTTTTCTTTCTTTCTGGGTTGGGCTGAAGTGATAGCACAGTGGTAGGGCGTTTGCCTTGCACGCAGCCAGCCCAGCCAAGCTGGGTTCGATTCTTCAGCCCCTCTCAGAGAGCCCAGCAAGCTACCGAGAGTATCTTGCCTGGCAAGCTACCCATGATGTATTCAATATGACAAACACAGTAACAACATGTCTCAAAATGGAAACGTTAATGGACCTGCTCAAGCAAATCAATGAACAATGGGAGGACAGTGACAAGCCTTTTGGGTCACACCTGGCTATGCACAGGGGCTTCTCCTGGCTTTGCACTAGAGAATTATTCCTGGCAGTGCTTAGGAGACCATATGGGATGCTGGGAATCAAACCTGGGTTGGCCCCGTGCAAAGCAAATGCCCTACTCGCTGTACTATAGCTCCAGCCCCCCATTTGGTTTCTTGAGCCCTGCCAGGATGATCCTTGAGCACAGAGTCAGGAGTTAACCCTGAGCACCACTGGATGTGTCCCCAAAACAAAACAAAATATGTACAGTTAATTAGATGTCAGTTGCACCTCAGTAGATCAATTAAAAGAGATCCCACCAATATTTTATTTCCTTAATATCCAATGTGTTGTTTTACCAATAAAGCCTTTTATAATAAGGAAATAATCTAATCGTGTATTATTGCATATAGTTAATCCTTGACTCTAAAGTCACATATGCCACTAAATCTGTGCTTTCATAGAAGGTTTACAACCTGGTCTTCAAGTATCACTGGTTCATATTAAAGAAGGCGTTTTTTGGTTTTGGCTTTATTTTTTGGGTCATGGGTTACTCCTGGCTCTGCACTCAGGAATCACTCCTGGCAGTGCTCCTGGGACCAAATGAGATGCTGAGAATTGAACCCAGGTCAACCATGTGCAAGGCAAACATCCTACCAGCTGTACTATCTGTCGTTCCGGCCCACAGAAGGATTTTTTTTACGTGTAGTCAACATAAGTGAATTATTTATTTAAGGGTTACTTTATTCAAAAGACAAAGTAGTTGGTCTAGTTCATTTCCAATGTCTGAAGTGAAAATCAAACAGCTACATTTTTATTGGTTTGTAATGTACTGCGGAATACAATCATACCATCTGTTTAAAATTATCAGTTGCATCTGTGTTTGCTTTATGGAGAAGGAAATCTCAGGAAACTTGATTTAAACAAGTGGGAGTTATATTTTAATCACAAAGTAAGAAACTAGTGGTGGCAATTCAATGGCCACCTCAGCATGAACTTCTTTGTCTTTCCTGATGTCACCTCAGCATGTGGGTTTAACCCTTGTACTTCCAAGCTGGTTAGCAAACTCTGGGTGCCATGATGATGTTTCTGTTGGTAACTTGTACCAAGTGGTGGTCTGTTATTCACTGAAAACTTTAACTCTGCTGAAAAACCTGTACAGTAGAATTTCTCTTTGTTCATTTAATGGTCAAGGTGCTCTTAACATGACATCATTGGTGTCTATTTTCTATTTTAGCTGTCTGAATTTCATTTCTTTAAAATAATCTTCTCTGCAACTTGAAAAAAAGAATAAATATAATTACCAGAGATATGAATTCTCCTAAGGATCTGTCCTTTATTTCATTTATCCAGTCCCGGCTTAGTGGCAGCCTTCCATCTCACACCTCTCTCTCTCTCTCTCTCTCTCTCTCTCTCTCTCTCTCTCTCTCTCTCTTTCTCTCTCCTGTTTCTGGACATTGTCTTCTGTTCCA